AACCTGTTAGGTGCATTTCATGCATTCATTTTTTTATAGTTTTAGTTCATAAAAGTGCATTACATTTAGGTTTAGACTCATGCATTTTGTATAATTTCGGGATTTTTCATGATGCAATTCCATTCACACGCTTTTAGGATATTTCTAGGACTTATGAAGGTTGGATCTTGTTGGAGGAAGTTATCAAGAGTTGGAGACAAGTTGTAGAAGTTTTGGAGCTTTGAGAGAGAGAATGAAGAAATGAAGAATTTGGATTCACAGGAGTTTACGGCCGTGTAAATTTATGCCTTTTATTTACACGGGCCGTGTAAACGTATATGCAAGGACATTCTACTTCGAAGACCTGGAAGAATTAAGCATTCTACTTTTTTGTTTACACGGGTAAATGGAACCCTTTGATTTACACGGGTGTAAACGTCTCGGCAGTTTTAAAGTGGTTTTGTCTTCTTATAATTCAGACAATCAGTTTTTATGGAAGTTAGGTCGGATTTTGGGAGGAGAAGAGACGATTTTCAGAGCTTTGGCAAGTAGATTAACACTTGGAAAAACTTTAATTTCTTTTTGTAAGTCAATTTGAAGTTTAAACTTGTTTGATTTGTAGTCCAACCTAGATATGTGTGGTTGATTTTATTATCATTTCCGAATCTGAATTCTTAAGTATGCGTTGTTAGGCTGTAACTTGAATTTGACTTATGTTTAACATCTAGTAATCTTTGATTTGATCTTAATCATGTGTTTGTTAGTTCTCTTTTTCACTTGATCAATGAACTAGGGTTCTATTCAATCTAGTTAATCAAATCATGAAATTCGTATATGTTTTATGATTTGATGTTAGTAACACTCACTTACTTGGTTGTAATTAGATCAAAATTAGTGCAATCAAAGATTAAATGTTTATATTCCCAAGCTTAAGAGGAATGTTAAACATTGTTGGTAATTAATGCAAGAACCTAATGTCATTTAATGATTTAATGCAAGAGCTTATTTGGTTGAATCAATTAAATGAAATTTTATTTAAAGAGCTTATTTTGAATAAAATACTTTTGCCAATTTGGATATTAGAGTTTATTAATATCCAACTTACCAACCTAGATTGAACATGAGTTATAATCATATTACATCTTTCAACATAATACATATATAAGAGTCAGAATCGGAAATGTACTTCTTCTACTGCGTTTGTTTTCAATCTTTCTTATTTATGAAGTTTAATTCAAGTTTAAATACAAACCCCCATTTCAATATTACTTGTATTATGTGTGAAAATATGGCAAGATAAAAAGTCCCGTATCTCTGTGGACCGACCCTGCTTACTCTATACTATCTTTAGTATTAGAAAAGCAGTGATTTAAGTTATATTAATATTATTTTATCCCATCATTTGTTGGTTTGACACCCAAACAAATTGGCGCCGTTGCTGGGGATACGGTAGTACTAATTGTTTATGCCAAGATCTTTTCACACAGGTACACCTTTACCAATTGATTTGGAAATAGAGAAATCTGCTAAACAGAGAAGGAAGCAAGCCAGACTTTTAAAGAAACAACAACAATCCGAGCTTCTTCATCAAATCCATCAACTACATCATCTCCAACATCCAAAAGTATCACCCACCATCTTCACCTACTCCTACCATGGCAGACAACCATGGAGGACATCAAAATCCTCCACATCCACCACCTGAACAAACCTTTAGACAATGGGCTACTCAAGATGTCACCCAACAACCTTTGTGCATAAATTACCCTGCAGCAATCAACTTTGAACTCAAGTCTGGACTCATCCATTTGTTACCCTCATTCCGTGGTCTTGAGAATGAAGACCCACATAAATTCCTTAAGGAATTTCATGTTGTTTGTGTGGGTATGAAGCCACATGAAGTCACAGAAGATCAAATCAAGTTAAGGGCATTCCCCTTTGCTTTACAAGATTCAGCCAAGGAGTGGTTGTATGACTTACCACCAGGGTCAGTCACAACATGGAATGAACTTGCAAGGATGTTTCTGGATAAATATTTTCCCGAAATGAGAGCTTCAGCTTTACCTAGAGAGATAATTGGCATCAAGCAACAAAAGAGAGAAGCCTTGCATACTTATTGGGAACGGTTCAAGAAATTGTGCTCAAGATGTCCACAACATGGGATTACAGAATATCAGTTGCTGCAGTATTTTTGTGAAGGAATGTCATCTTGGGATAGGAGATTACTTAATGCATCAAGTGGTGGATCTATAGCTGATAAGACTCCAACAGAAATTAGAGTTCTTATCAAGAACATGGCAGAAGAGTCCAAGCATACAGTTCAAGAAGAAGAATGGTACATAGATGCACCCCGAGGTGTAAAGGAGGTCCAGACTCCTCAAATTGAAGCTCAATTGTCCGAACTTACGAAAGTGGTTATGATGCTAGCCAAAGACAAAGGTGTGCAACCCACACCCCGTCCATGCGGTATTTGTACTCAAGTGGGGCATCCAACCGACATGTGTCCTCAACTTCAAGAGGAAGATTATGAAGAAGCAAAAGCCATGGGAGGTTTTCTTGGGTCTAGTCAAAGGGGATATGAGCAGCCACGAGGTGATCAAAGATGGAACAACAATCAAGGTTGGGGAGGAAATCAACAAGGGAACTATCAACCAAGTCAACCACATCAATACCAACAAAGACCGCCTTTCCACCACAAAACTTTCAGCCAAGGCAACCACAACACCCTCCTCAACAAGCGGGTTCATCAAGTATGTCTTTAGAGGACATAGTAAAAAGTTTGGCAACTAGTACACAAGCTTTCCAACAAGAGACAAGAGCAAGCACAAAGAACTTAGAGAAACAAGTTTCACAGCTTGCTATTTCCGTAAGCAAACTAGAATCTCAAGGAAAGTTGCCTGCCTAAACTGAAGCAAACCCAAGGCACAATGTGTGTGCCATCACATTGAGAGGCGGGAAAAGCTATGATGGTCCAAAATTTTCGATTGATCAAAAAGAAGATGAAATAGTGGTTGAAGAGGCAACCAAAGAAGAGAATGAGGAAGAGAAAACAAGCGAAAAGAAGCCCTTCATCGCTGAGTCTAAAGCCACACCTGCTCCATTTCCCGAAAGATTAAAGAGCACGAAGAAAGAACGGGAGGAGAATGACATCATGCAAATGTTCAAGAGAGTTCAAATCAACATTCCACTCCTCGAGGTCATCAAGCAGGTACCTAGATACGCAAGGTTCCTTAAGGATCTTTGTGTATCTAAAAAGAAATTAAAAGGAAATCAAGTCGTAACGGTTGGGGAGCATGTATCCACGGTTTTGCAAAAGAGGATGCCCCCAAAGTGCAAGGATCCCGGTGTCTTTACCGTACCTTGCAAGTTGGAAATCTTTATGTACCTCGAGCTATGCTTGATCTAGGTGCATCTGTAAATGTCCTACCATATTCTCTTTTCAAATCAATTGGTGTAGGAACATTGAGCAAAACCGGTGTGATCATCCAACTTGCTGATCGGTCTTTGGTACACCCAAAGGGAGTATTAGAGGACGTGTTAGTGCAAGTCGATGAATTTGTCTTCCCGGCTGATTTTTATGTCTTAGATATGGGAGACGATGACTCTCCAAGTTCAAGTTCCATTCTTTTGGGTAGACCTTTTCTTAAAACTTCTAAAACAAAAATCGATGTCTACAATGGAACCTTGAGTATGGAATTTGATGGTGAAGTTATCAACTTCAATGTGCATGAAGCACAAAAGACTCCTTTTGATGTTCAATCTGTTAATTTTGTCAATTTGATCCATCCCTCAACAAAAAAGGGTTTGAACTTGTCTAACAATGAATTTCTGGAGTTAGTTTTGTCACGAAAACTAGACAGGGACAAAGCCAAAGAGCTTGCAAAGAAGTTTGATATGGATAATGAAGTGTTGGAGATTTTAGAGTTTATTGATGACAAGAAGCATGTGAGGAGTGATGATATGTTAGAGAGGCCCACGTATCGAGACTGAAGCACAAATAGTTGGGGTCCAAGTCGAGCCAACGACATTAAAAAGGGGCGGCTAACCGGGAGGCAACCCGGGGGTATTTTTGTCATTTCGTATATTTTCATTGTATTTTCTTTATTTTCAAACTTCCAAGTTGTTTTTCATGCTAAAAAAAGGGTTAAAAATCATTTTTCGGGCAGTAGAGGTTTAGCGGGTTGCAATTTCAAAAAGTGAAAAAAATCAAGTTTTTTGGCTTTCTCAGAAGTTTACACGGCCGTGTAAACTTATGCCTTGCATTTACACGGGCCGTGTAAACGATTGAACACGGTTTTTATGATTCAGGGATTTACACGGCCGTGTAAACCCCCCCCCCCCCCCTTTGATTTACACGGGCCGTGTAAACGCAAAAACAGGGCTGAACGATTTTAAGGTCAAATCTCGATTTTTCTAACTCATTCTTCACTCAATACCTGCGATTCCCTCTCTCCCTACTGCCCCCTTCGAAAAAACCCTTCCAAATACTCAATCTTCCTCAATTTTGCATCAAAAAATCAAGCTCCAAGGTATGAAATTCCTCCCTTTTCTTCATCTTCTTTATCTTCCACATCTATATCCTTCTCCCATGGCCGATTTTGGGTTTTTTTTAACAAAACCCTAGAATTTTTTAACTTCAAATCTCAACCTAATGTTTCAAATTTCTTGTAGGATAAGCTTGGGGATAGCTTGGGGAAGCATTGGATATCATCTTATCACCATTATCAAGCACAAATTGGTATAATTGTTCCAAACTCTTACTTTGTGCATTTAGATAGAACACATTCCTTTTTTGGGTGTTTTTTTGGTGAAACTTGCTAGTTCTTGTGCTTCAATTGTCTTAATTGTGTGCAATATTTTGTTGATTCATTTGGGTTATGGCTTCCCGGGGTAAAAGACATAGAGTTGGCACTTCACATGATGAACAAGACCCACATGCCATAGACAACCCCTATGAATTTGGTCTTATTTTTTAGAACAATCGACAGGAAATCTTGTATGCAAATCTTGTTACAAGAACAATGGGTGCTCAAAAATTTGTGGACATCCAGGCCCTCAAAGATTTACACATATACAAGGGTGTTCACAAGCTTTTTAAAAACATAGGATGGGAGGGTCTTTTGAATCTTCATGCAGTTAGTTACCAAACACCGATGTTGGAACTTTTGTCTTCCATTTCCTTTGACTATCAAACCCATCTCCTAACTTTCCGTCTGCTCAACCAAACCCATCAATTTCATGCTGATATCCTTTGCGATATGATTGGTGCTCCTAAAGCAAGAAGGGATATATACACAGCTAAGGGTAGAAAAAATGTTGTTTTTGAGCAAGACTGTGCAAATTTTTGGAGAAACATCTCTTGTGAGTATGAGTATCAATCAGGCACTGCCAAAGCTTCTAGCATTATCCATCCGGTCTTGAAAGTAGCTCACCGGATCATTGCTTCTCTCTTATTCCCTCAAGAAGAGATTAGCAAGGCTAATAAAAAAGAGCTAGAAGTCTTGTGGTGTATGATTAACAAGCCTGCAGAAGTCCCTCATTTTGGTTGTTGGGTTATTCAAAAAATGCTCAGAAGTGCTACGAGCAATGGTGGACAGCTACATTGTGGAGGCATGGTTTCTATTATTGCAGAGCATCTTGGCCTCCATCTACCTAATAACCCAACAAACATCATCATGGGCCGTACTCGTCTATCAATTGATGTTATGGAAACAATGCATCTCTTCCACCGCCTTCCCACTGGGGATATTCATTGGACAGTAGATGGGAAAGAGTATCTACGTATAGACAACAGAAATAAGAAGATACTCAATTTAGCCAATGATATTCCATCAACTAATTGGAAACTCAGATCCAACTTAGGTGTTACAGTAGATCATAGTCCTCCATCCTCTCCTCCTCCTGCTCCTACTGCTGGTGCTTCTAGTTCCTCTCGCCCTATTCCTTTTTCTGAACATAATCTTTATATGGGCGAGTTTGCGTTTGAATCATCGTTACACCAGTCTACAACAGGAAGTCGGGACATTTATACGGGTGTCGCTGAAATCACTTCTGATTTTCAGGACTACCGTAACTTACAGGAAGAGCATTGGGCCCAACAAGAGTTGCGGTGGGCTGAGCAAGATCAAAGATGGGCTACTCAAGAGCAGCACAACCGCAACATTCACCATCTGCTGAGTGATATCCATAGAGTTCTTGTGCTCCCCACACAGTCGCAGCAGCCATCAGCATCCCAACCCCAATGGCCTCCCTACTATCCTACAGATTACCCTTCACAGTTCCCTCCATATCCTCCGCCCGGTCCTCAATAGGACGGCTACGCCTCTCTCCAAGCATCGAGGACGATGCTATACTTTAAGCTTGGGGAGGGGTATCCATCCATGCATTATCCCGTTGCATGTAGGTTGCATGTAGTTTTGTACATATTGCATTAATTTTCATTTCATTTTCGTTTTCATTTTTTTCTGCATGGAAAATTTTTCAAAAAAAAAAAAAAAAACGATCCAATCCCAAGCAACCGAATCTTTTCAAAACAGTTGAGCAGGTAAATGAGTCATGTGCCTTGAAATTGGCTTGCTTTTTATTGAAAAAAATCTAAAAGCAAGTTAATCACACACGAGCACATCTCCCGAAGCTACTTGTGCAAAACAGAAAATGAGAAGATTGTCAACACTGAAGCATAACAGCAGGTATGAGTTAATTCTTTGGGACATATGACCGGTCTTATGAGTAGTAATGCTCAATTGAACTTAAAATGTCAAATTCAAAAGTTCATAAAAAGAATGCAAAATCTCAATGTCCCGCCTTCCAGCGCTCTTAAAAGTCCTTTCTACTTATTCCCTTTTATATATACCCTGCTTGAGGACATAGCTTTCAACTATACTTACGGGTTTTTGCATGTTAACATTTAGTCCCCCGAAAAATGTCTTAGAAGTCCTCACGGTAATAGACCGTGAGATGTCCCACAATAGAAAAGTCAAGGACGGAAATATAAGGAAATTGGCCAAATAAATAAATTAATAAGAGTGTTATGTGTTAACTTAGTTATTTGTATATGTGTTATATTTTAAAAAAAACTATTATTAAGTTAATCTGTGACCTTTGGGATTCGAACAAGTAAACTCTGAGCGGTTTTCTACACCTAATCACCTAAAGCTAAATTGTTTGGGATTGATTGGGTTGAAAGTTCGCTATACGGGTTCCATAGAAAGTCATGAACTTAATAATAGTAAATAAAGCTAATCTGTGGCCTTTGAGGTTCGGGCAAGTAAACCCGAGGGATCTCTTTAAATCTAGCACACTAAGGTCATTTGATTTGGATGTGTTGGTTGAAAGCCTGCTACACGGATTTCAAAGAAAGCCATGAGCTTTATTTATAAAAAAAAATGTAATTAGAAAGTTTGTACATAGTTGTGTTTATAGTTTAATTAGATGTTGTGTTTAGGAAAAATAAATGGCTGTCAAAAGATTCCATTGGACTTGGATTTGAATTTATGACATTGGACTGAATGTTAATTACTTCGACTGGTGTAAGTGGTTTGAAGTTTGTAACCAATCTGGATAAATATTAGGGAATTTTTAGAAAAGATTTTTCAGAAAAAGATTGTTGTTGACCAACAAATAGCTGGAATCGAACATTGTTATATTTTATGAAACAAAGATGGTTGAGCATGTTTTGTCACATATAATTTCACGAGAGTAAGACCATAATTTGTTCCAAGAATTGACTTGATAATATTGAAAAGGAATAAGTGTTGTGATCTTTAATTCTGTTGAGTTGTACTAGGGAGTGGCCAAAGTCTTGTTTCTATTATCATTTAATATTTTGAGACTAAAGCAAAGTTAACTCGAGGCATGACAGGTACATTCTCAACTATGGTACAAAACAGGGTAATTGGGTTGGATCTTTTCATGTTTGTTTTGATTTCATGCATTAAGTTATAAATAGTTTTAACTTTAATTTTCTTTTCTTCTATTCTATTTTTTTTTTTCTTTTCCAGTTTAAATCTTCTTGTTCTTTCTTGAGGACAAGAAAGGTTTAAGCTTGGGGAGATTTGTTAGGTGCATTTCATGCATTCATTTTTTATAGTTTTAGTTCATAAAAGTGCATTACATTTAGGTTTAGACTCATGCATTTTGTATAATTTCGGGATTTTTCATGATGCAATTCCATTCACACGCTTTTAGGATATTTCAGGGACTTATGAAGGTTGGATCTTGTTGGAGGAAGTTATCAAGAGTTGGAGACAAAGTTGTAGAAGTTTTGGAGCTTTGAAGAGAGAGAATGAAGAAATGAAGAATTTGGCTTCACAGGAGTTTACACGGCCGTGTAAATTTATGCCTTTGATTTACACGGGCCGTGTAAACGTATATGCAAGGACATTCTACTTCGAAGACCTGGAAGAATTAAGCATTCTACTTTTCTTGTTTACACGGCCGTGTAAATGGAACCCTTTGATTTACACGGGCCGTGTAAACGTCTCGGCAGTTTTAAAGTGGTTTTGTCTTCTTATAATTCAGACAATCAGTTTTTATGGAAGTTAGGTCGGATTTTGGGAGGAGAAGAGACGATTTTCAGAGCTTTGGCAAGTAGATTAACACTTGGAAAACACTTTAATTTCTTTTTGTAAGTCAATTTGAAGTTTAAACTTGTTTGATTTGTAGTCCAACCTAGATATGTGTGGTTGATTTTATTATCATTTCCGAATCTGAATTCTTAAGTATGTGTTGTTAGGCTGTAACTTGAATTTGACTTATGTTTAACATCTAGTAATCTTTGATTTGATCTTAATCATGTGTTTGGTTAGTTCTCTTTTTCACTTGATCAATGAACTAGGGTTCTATTCAATCTAGTTAATCAAATCATGAAATTCATATGTTTTATGATTTGATGTTAGTAACACTCACTTACTTGGTTGTAATTAGATCAAAATTAGTGCAATCAAAGATTAAATGTTTATATTCCCAAGCTTAAGAGGAATGTTAAACATTGTTGGTAATTAATGCAAGAACCTAATGTCATTTAATGATTTAATGCAAGAGCTTATTTGTGTTGAATCAATTAAATGAAATTTTATTTAAAGAGCTTATTTTGAATAAAATACTTTTGCCAATTTGGATATTAGAGTTTATTAATATCCAACTTACCAACCTAGATTGAACATGAGTTATAATCATATTACATCTTTCAACATAATACATATATAAGAGTCAGAATCGGAAATGTACTTCTTCTACTGCGTTTGTTTTCAATCTTTCTTATTTATGAAGTTTAATTCAAGTTTAAATACAAACCCCCATTTCAATATTACTTGTATTATGTGTGAAAATATGGCAAGATAAAAAGTCCCGTATCTCTGTGGACTGACCCTGCTTACTCTATACTATCTTTAGTATTAGAAAAAGCAGTGATTTAAGTTATATTAATATTATTTTATCCCATCATTTGTTGGTTTGACACCCAAACAAAACCCTAATGACTATATATATGGCACTTAGCCATTTTTCACACTTTTTCACTTTCCAAGAGCAAAACTCAAATCCTCTCAAGTAGAATCCGAATTTTCCTTCTTGATCTTCAACTTCCAAGTCTTCCTAGCCCTAATAAGTTGATATTTAACTTAATCTAGTGATCTAACACACCTCCATCCGTGAAATCATTCCAAAAGTGTAGATCATCAAGTTTCACCAAGAACACACACTAGTGTTCTTGGACTTTTAGCACCTTCTCTATCTTGTAAGTACTTCTATCCTAGAGTATCTTAAGTCTTGTTACACTCCCATATATATATCAAGAAACACCAAGATCAAGGTGTTTACGGTCCAAGATGTTCTTGGACCGTAAACCCTAAAAAGGGTGCCAAAGTGTGCTCTAGTCCCTCCTAGGCCTTGGAAGCTTGCTTAGATCCCTTCCTTGATGAGTTAAGAGCTTGAAAAAATCAAAAGACCATAAACCATATGGTTTTACGATCGTAAACCCAAAGTAAAATGGTCTAAGGACCGTAAACTCCATTTAGGAGTGAAATGGTGCCCTAATCCCTTCCATAGGCTTATACTTCAAGTAGAAATGCTTCTAAGGACTTATGAGGCTTCAACTCACAAAGTGGTCAGAGGAGCATAAGTTTACGACTATAAACTCATGGGTTTACAACCGTAAACTCAATGGGTTATGGTCATAAAAACTGTAAACTCAAATGAAGGGTTCCCTTGAACCCTAAACTCAATAGCAATGTCCTACAACACTTAGATGCAATCCTTAGGACTTATAGCACTTATATAAGGTGTTTTTCATGTCTTAGGATGTCTTAACTTGGTTAATTAGTTGTTTAATGACTAATTGGATACATATATGTGTTATTACATGTTAACTAGGATCATTGTACCTGTTCGAGTCTTCACTCGACACTTAGCATCCTATACAGTTTGTTCAGCCAAACCACTCACTACAGGTGAGTTCATACCCCTTAATTAAACTTTTAAATGTTTTTAGATGTTTATAAATACTTTATGGGGGGATACAAGTTGAATCATGGTAATTGTTATATCAATCACATGTGATTAATAACTAGCATGCAAATGGATTTACTATACGTTAACTATTTTACCAAACAGATTCCTTCAAATGACTTTCTTAAATGTTTTTACATGTTTAAAACTCTTTATTAAACTGTCTTACATACTGAATGTTTCTTTCAAACTGTGTTACAATTGTGTTTCAAACAAAGGTTTCCTTATACTTTAAATTGTTCTTATCAAACAAACTGCTTTCAAACCGTTTTACAAACTGACATCAAGTCATCTTTCCTTAGTTACTCAACTTTTCAATGGTTTTACAAAACTTCTTTTATACTTTCATATTGTCAAATGCATGCCTATGTATATATAGTTATATAAGAAATGTTTAAAGGACTTACGAAGGCTAGCTCGCTTTATCTCCTTTTCCTCGTTGGGATGTGGCTTTACGGCATCGGTTATCCATCCGAAGGTCGTCTAAATATTAGTTATATATTATGTATACATATATAGATATAAAAGTTCTATCAATCAGTTCAATACCCTTGGGTAGCAAGGGTATACATTCATGTTCATAAGTACAAGTCATATTACTAGTAAACTACAATAGGCGTAGTTTAGGAAGTTACTAATACTATTACTAGAGCAATAAATCATACAATGAGTCAGTTCATACATGAGTCACTACTTTCTAGATAGAGAGAGAACACACAATACAGCTAGTACACACAGTACATTACTATACATACTAGATAGAGAGATAACACACAATACAACTAGTACACACACTACATTACTA